GGACATACCAGTGCCCAGACAGGGGCCAGCCCCGCCCAGAGACCTCACTGCCCAGATCGTCCAACTGGAGCCGAACCCCACCCCCGCCAGATCAGCCCTAGCCTGGAACTTCAAAGTGGTTTATTTTGTTCCTTCTGCATTTGGATTCCAGGAATATTTAATGGGGTGTGTTAGAGCAAAACAGCCATAACTTGCAGGCAGCCTTTCTCTCCAGATTAAACAGGTGCATAATCCCTCTTTAGCCAAGCTAAAGAGGCCGCAGCAGCTGGTGGCTTCCCGTCTCTGTGGGCCCCTGCAGGGACACTTTCCTCCTGTCTCTGGGTCTACCCAAATGCTCCTCTGTTCAAGCTCCCCCGCCCACCCTACCCCGGCCGACACCCCCAGCCGTCCTGGGCCACTGCAAACACCGCACTCCGTCACGATGCTGAGCAAACCCACTTTGGCTGTGAGAGATTAACATAAAAAGCATTTCCCCAGTTGCCAGTGCTTTGGCTGCATGCACGTGACTTCAGCGGAAAATGTGTTAAGCCCAGTGGGAGTCAGGCCAGGACGCGTGCGTGGAGCCATCTAGGTGAGCTCTTTCTCCTCCCCATCCAGGGTCAGGGAATGCTCCCGCATCTCGCAGGGACCATCTGGAGGAAAACCAGCCTCGCCCCGCCCATGAGGGGCAAGGGGAGCCCTTGAAGGCCTTCTGCCCTGGTGCGGGCTGGGGGGCTCTCCTGGCCCGCGTGCGTGTTCTTTGCCACCCGCTCTCTTCTAGAAGTTTCACCATCGTGCTCTAATGGAAACAGCATGGTCAGAGAGGCTGTGGCCCCAGGGATTGTGGCCGAGCAGTGATGGATGGGCCTGAGGACTGAGCGGCGGCCCACGTGATCGTGCCTCCTGCTCGGCTCCAAAACGGGGCTGTTAGCACAGCCTGACTCGGATCGTTTATCTCCAAGTCCCAGGGGATTTTTAAACAGCTGTGGAGCTGATCTTTTCCAGAGGGAAAGTGGTTCTGGTTTGTCGTTAAGAAAAACACATACCGCCTGCACCCCAAAACCCAGCCTGGATTCCTGGAGCACCAGGCCCTCCCTGCACCCCGGGATGCTCCCATTCTGAACCTCCTCCCCAGTGGCTGTGCCATTCAAGCCGGCGTGGGGCGCAAACTCGGGACACATGGAGGTGGAGGGCGTTTTTCTCTCTCCCCGCTCACACTGCCTTGTTTCTGCTAAACCCCTGGGGGAGCAGGGCTTGGCAGCCACACCTGTGCCTGTCCGCACCGTGCCACTGGCCAGACAGCGTCTTTCTTTCCAGAGATACAAAATCATTTTCTGTTCTTTCCCTGCCCCTCCTTGTCCCATGTTCCTACCCCGCCTCCTGCTTCCTTCCCTGCCTTTCTGCTTTCCGGAAGCCCTGGGAGGCCTTGTTCCAGGGACGGCAGGATTCGATCTGGGTGCCCAGCCCCAGTGCTGGCCTGAAGAAGACGAAGGCAGAGTGCAGCGGCTGTGAGAGCAGCCCCCGCCTGTCTCTCTGCAGCGAGCGCGGCACGTGGCAGCCTCCTCCTTGGTGTCCTTCTGTGACCTGCTGGAAGCCCAGCATGACCTTTGGGCACCTCATGAAGAGAGTCATGGGGAGGAGAGGCTGGGTAGGAGCGGGGACAGGGCCTGGCCCTGCAGAGGGAGTGGGAGGTGGGCCTTGCTCACTCTGGCTGGGCGCCCCTGGGTCCCCAGAGGAACCTGAGCGGGGCCAGAGTGGGGCCAAAGCTCACAGTGAGGAGGACACAGACGCTCAGAGGAGGAGTGTTCAAGTATGTGAACATCGGCGCATCAGAAGCTGATCATCAGTGAGCTACCACAGCCGGAGTGGAGCCGCAGGGAGGCTGAGTGGGAGGCAGGCAGGGAGAGGGTGGAGGCTCCAGGGGCCCACACCCACCCAGCACCCCAGAGCCCATCTCACCACTGCCTGATGGGGCTGGACTCTGGGGAGGGACCTGGAGGCTGGGACCCCCAGAACACACACACACACACACACACACACACACACACGCATACACACACACGCATACACCCCTTCCAGAAATGCCAACCCGAGTTGGAGCCAAGGGGAAAATGCCTTCCCCATCCACCTTGTCCACCTCAGGGACCGCGTGCAGAGAGGGGCCTCTCAGAGCTGGTGTGGCCCTGGGGCCTCCCAAGCAGTTGTGTGCACATGAATAGGAAGACTCTAGATTCAGTCAAGAGCTCCCACCATGCAGAGCTTGGCCTTCAGAAGATTCCCTGCTCTTCCTGCCTGGTCTGGATCCAGGTGGGGACACAGGAGCTTCTGGTGGACAGAGACCTCAGGAAATCAGGAGGAGCCTGGGGTGGTCCCAGCTGTGTCTGTGAAACTGGAGTGGTTCACCCAGTAGGAATTATGGAACCCAGCTGGGATTCACTTCTGTATTGGCCTCCGAGCTGTCTCTACAGGGAGAAAAATTTCCTTCTTGGGGCTGTCAGCCCAGGTATGATCTCCGAGGATGGCATAAGCTTCTTGGGGACACAGCGCCCCTTGCTGGGACTTCCCCATCACCTCCTCAGCTGAGTGGTAACCCTGGCGAGGCCCAGCTGCTCCCCTCCCCTGGGCCTCCACCTCCGATTTTTTCTCTGCCCGCCCCCCGCACCTCGTCCCCTCCCTCTTCCTCCCTGCCTGGTTTTCTGCTTTTCTTCCCTGGGATGCCTTGCTTGTGGGAGGGCAGGATTCGGATCTGGGGTAGGTGCCCAGCCTGAAGAAGGTAAGTGCAGAGCCCACAGGGTGTGGATGTCCAAAGTGAGGACCCAGAACTTACCTCCTTGCACATTTACACACACACACGCACACACTTACAGTCACTGTGCAAACAATCATAACCACATTACAGAACATTTAGAAAAAAAGAGGAAAAACATCTCCCCACGATCTCACCTAACAGAGCTGCTGAAACGATTTCCTTTTTCATATGCAAACGCTAATTTTAAACACAGTAATAGTTTTACTCTCTATAACATTGCTTGCCTCTCTTAGTACTAAAATAAGAATTCATAAGAATTTTAGATGTGGTTGCATAGTCTTAACAGTTATCATTTAAAATGAGAGGCTACTGTAACAGGAGATCGATGTGCCCTTGATTAACAGGCCCCCATTTGTTTTGGACATTTAGGTGGTTGCTGTTTTCTGGTTTTGTTTTGTTTTGTTTTGCTGGCCCCATAGTACTGCCATGGAGCTTCTATCATATTGTGAATTTGTCTCTGGGACAGGTGAACTACAAGTTTCTTGAGTCCTAACATAAGGCCACGGCCACCAGTGGGGGCCTTTGTCTTCCAGCCCTCTGCCATCAGCCACAAGGGAAAGTGGGCCAGAGAGTGTGGGTGAAGCAGTGTTGACCACCCCATTGCGGGGTCAGCTCAGCCCCGTCCTAGACGAAGGATGCCACGTCACTACGTTGTTGGAGCTTCTAAGTCGTTGAGTTAACTGAAGTGAGTAATAGGCACACGATTCTCAGCTGGCTGAGCTTTGGTGAAGTGGCCTCAGCTGGGGCCACTGAGATGGTTTTTAGGGGACATTTGTGGGGTTTTTTCCATTGTTTATATATGTTTTATTTTAGATTCCAGGGTACACGTTACATGGGTATACTGTGCAATGCTGAGGTTTAGGCTTTTAATGATCTCATTGCCCAAGAAGTGAACATAGTACCTGACAAGTATATTTTCAACCCTTGTCCCTGTCCCTCCATCCCGGGCTTCTGAAATGCATCAGGTGCCTCTCCAGGTGAGCCACCTGCCCACCTTTCCCCCAGTTCTCAAACAGGAAGCAAAATTACCATGATGAAGGTACAAGCACAACATCTAACCCTTCCTTGAGTCTCATATTTTGTATGGCTCCTGTGCTTACATAAGTTAATACGTTTGTATGCCTTTTTTTTTAATTCCTGTTAATCTGCCTATTGTCAGTTTATTTCAGTTGACTTGGACCTTCAGAGGGGGTAGTCACAAGAATTTATTACTCCTTGTTTGCCTAATGCTCTAGGATCGCAGACAAATATTCTAGTGGGGCTCAGAAAACAATACCCCAAACTGTGGTGCTTCGGCCTACGGAGTGCTTTGAACAGGAAGAAATCAAAAGCCTTAGACACAAGCCTCAGAACCAAGGATTTTCTCACCTTCCTTCCCCAGGCATAGTGAGAGACTGTCTCGGAAGATTCCTTTATCTGACTGAGAAAATCTTGCAAAAGAAATGCAATTGTCATAAGATCCCCTCCCTAGAAATCTCATCAAATAACCAGGAAAGAGTGACCAAAAGAGAAAAGACCTAAAGTCATCACACCCAGATAGACTTTTCATCTGTTCTTCTGGGGGAAACTCCTGGGAGACTTTATCTGCATGATAAGACAACCTCTGTTCACAGTACAGTTCTGCCCCTTACCTTCCCACCACCTCGGAGCTCAGAGGAGCACGGTCCCTGACCATCGTCTGTTCTTTGGGCTCATTCAGTTCTCTTGCAAATCATTTACTATTTCTCAAAACTGCCTATATCCCCTGTCTTCCTTCTTACCTGTGAAGAGAGTAGTTAAGCCTCAACCATCTGACCCTTCCTCGAGACTCATATTTTGTACAGCTTCTGTGCTTCTGCACATTGGTGAATTTGTATGCTTTTTCCCCCTTGTTAATCTGTGTATTGTCTGCTCATTTCAGTAGATTAAACCTTCAGAGGTGAGGAAAAATTCTCTTTACTCCTGCAGTTCCCACCAGCAACAGTGAGGGCACAGGGCCAGGTCTGGGTGCTGGCTGGTGCTGTGTGCCCCACCGTAAGGCATTTCTCAGCTCCATGTCATTCACTTTAATTGAATTAAAGCCCATAAGGAGATGTAACTCCCAGCAATGTTTGTCAATGTGGAGCATTTGAAAATGACGCAACCATTTAACAACAGAGGACATTCTTTGTCAAAATAATAGTGTAGAAACATTTTACTGATGTGACATATGCTATTTGTAATGCCTGTTTGTGGGGAAAGCATAATCTCATTTTTAAGTGAAAAATTACACACACACACACACACACAAGCCTGGGAAGCTAAAAACATACAATTAAATGTTAACAGTGTTACTGCTGGATGGTGAAGGGTGGGCTGATGGGTGAGTTTTATTGTCTTCTTTTTGCTTAACTGTATTTTCTACTATACTATAATTAGCCTGTATTCCTTGTATAATTGTTAAAAAGATGCTCTTTATAATACAGTGATATCCTTCATCTACATGTTTTCACTCTGCAAAGCTCTTTCATAAATACGATCGTATCTGATAGCACAGTAACACAGGAAGAAGGCCAGAACAGTGTATGTTCTTTGTGCTTTATTTTGTAGATGAGGAAAGGGAGGTTCCGAGAGTTGTCATGCTTACCATGGTTACCCAGCCTGTGGCTGGAGGAGCTGAAGTCAAGCCAGGGCTCCTGATGCCTGGTTCAGGACTTGCTATGGCACCACGCTTCTTCGGGTGGAATTCTCACCCTCCGGACCCTCGGCTCACTGGCTCCAAAAGCCATCCCTTAGACAAATTCCACTTGAAAGAAACAGCACTTGCCTGGTTTCTCCAATATTGACAAGACATCTGAAAGCACATCTGACTGTTTCACTGCCCTGCCTAGAACCTTCAGGGGCTCCTCCTGAGTCCAGCACAGGAGTTCTCAATTATCCAGCTTGGACATCACCAACTGGATAATCCTTTGTTGTGGGGGCCAGTCCTGTGCATTGTAAGATGTTTAGCAATATCTCCGGCCTCTTTCCACTAAACGACGGTAGTACTGCCTTGGTGCTCACCTACACGCCCAATTGCATCAACTGAAAATGCCTCTAGACAAACTCTCCCCTTATTCGGAACCTGCTAAAACTCTTGGGCCTTCCACCCTGGTCTGTATGAAAGGTTACTTCTACAGCCTTTCCCTCCCCAGGCTGTGTTTTACATCAGTTAGCTAGATTTCTCTTTAACCCTTCAGCTTCCTGTGCCGACACTTCACATAGGTGTGTGGATATCACCCAACATCTTCTCTGTCTCCTCAACAGAGTTTGAGCTCTTGAGTGCAAGGACTGTGTAATTCTCAGCTTCGAACCCCTCATGGCCTGGTCACGGGACACTGTAGACACTTCATATCTGGACACACTGGACACACTCCAGACACTTTGGCTGGAAGGAAGGCGGAAAGGAAAGAGAGGAGAGACAGTTACTTAATGTGGTAGAGTAATTTAAGGCCACTTTCATGATCTAGTGATCCGGTTTTATATATTGGTTTTGAAAGGTGTGTTTATGCCTGGTCGAGTCTTTTTTCCTTTGCATTACAAGGGGGCTGTTAAAGGCAGCCACAGCCAAACTTGGCTCCACCAACCAGGGAAACGAACAGAGTCGATGTTCTGTACTTACGACGGCAGCAGCAGGAGCAGGAGCCATGGCAACGTAACGGTTAATGACGGTGGTTTGCCCAGGCCCCTCTCTCTTTCAGCCTGTTTCCTAACTTTAAAATGAGAATAAAACAAATGCCTGTTTTTGTGTGATTAACCTGGTGCACGTGGCCCACCCAGGACAGTCCTGGGTGTGTAAAACGTTCAGCCTAGGTTAACTGAGTCAGAGTCAAAATCTGAACTCTAACATTTGTAGAACCCTGTCCAGCAGCCCTGAAAAATGGGTCATCATCTCACCAGCTAATCAGCCACTGAGGGATTGCATTTCTCCACCCAAAGGCAGAAGCAAAGGAGGCAAATACATCTGGCATCCTTCCAGAAAGGAGCTGCCAGATCCTTTCCGCATATTGCTTTGTTTTGCTACAACCCTTAGGGGCTGCTTTCCTTACACTGACATCCCTAATATCTCAGGGGTTTGTTCTTTTCTACCTGTTTCTTCCCTGGGTTGTTCTTTGCATCGTTCAGGGCTTTCTCCCAGGTGATCAGATTCTTCCTGTCCCGGGGTGTGTTGGGTTGACTTGGGCCATGGGGTGGCTGAAGCTATGTGTCGGGAATAAGATCTCCCACAGTGGCACCACCTAGGTGGCATTTTGAAACCCATTGCTACTCCTCTGATTCTGGGGTTTGGTTCTGAGGAAGTGGCAGTAACAGTAGCAGCCATAAAAGCCCTTTTTGTCCAGCGGGGTGTCGGCAATGCCTTTGGGTTCCTTTCCTTCTGGGAATGCTGCCATTGCTGATATCACCAGCATGGTGGGTCTGATATCACCAGCATGGAGTCCAAAGACATAAACATGAAATTTCCTGACTCTTGAGGAAACTGGCCCAGAAAAAAATATCCAAGGCTTCAGTATCTGAAAATGCTGTGCTTCCTCTGAACAAGGGGTTTGTTTCAGTCCTGTGGACTGGAAGGCTCTAGGAACTATTTCCCTCATTGCTTATGCTGCTAGGTAGCTTAGAGTCAAAACTGAGTGCCACCTCTCTGCGTGTGAGCCAGACCATTTGGTATGCATTCCTGTGAGGTCATCTAACCATTATTTTCTGAATCATGTTCCCCTTCCATTTCTCAATCATTTTTATTGTTGTTATTCTGAACAAAATCTGCTGTGTGAAGTTCACTGAATCATTTCTTGACAATCAGCAACCTAGGAAATGAGCATCCCTCTGTCCCACTGTCTCCAAATCATAGCTGAAGTTTGCAGGATTCAGCAGCCCTAACAGCTAGGATTGCTTGTGTTGTGCTTTCTATGTTCATGGAACATCCTGCCTGTGGTTTATTTTCTTTCAGTCCCAAGTGAGGCTACTGCAAGTTTTCATAGCACTTTATGGGACTCAATAGCCAGGTGCATTTCTGTTAAGACAAATGGTTTTTAAAAGAAATTCTGTGAGTCTTCTTATAGCCCGTTCTTAAGGCCCTCCCTCCCTCCCTCCCTCCTTCCTTCTTTCCTTCCATCCTCTGCTAATTTGGGGGCAGAGAAGACGTGAGATCCCACTAATAATGAGCAGTGGTTGAAATTCTGGGAAAGGCTGGGCGTCACACACTGCTTTATCTTCCAGAAGCCCTCGGGAGGTTGCTTGTATTCATTCTCATTGCCTGTTCTCACCCTATTTTTGGTATCTCCCTCTTTTTGCCTCTGGGACCCTTTTTCTCTGGTTTTGGGGTTACCTTTAGGGGCCCCAGACCTCGACCGTACTCTAGCCTGGGTACTTCCCAGGACTGAACTCCACGTTCGTTCCTCCCTGGCTACGTCAATCGTCACTACCCTTCTGCAAATCAGCCTAATGAAGATGGGTCTCCGTGTTATATTCGCCCACTTTTTTTTCCTAATGGTGGCCTGATGACTCTAGGTTCCTCTCTGCTTCTGTGACCCTGTTGTCCCTCTGGCTACGACAGGCTCTAAACACGCCCCGTTCATTGATGTCGTAAGTGATTAATCTCTGGCTGGTTTCCTCCTGTCTACCCCAGAGTGTGTGCAGCGCCCATTCATCAAGATGCCCAGATAATTGAAGCAATCCACCTTCATTCGCGCCGTGCTCTGGGCAGTGACGCCAGCCTGGCGATCTGCAGTGCTCAGTGTGATTACTCTTTCTTAATGAATCCCTGGGGCTCCTCAGTCCCCTGCAGAACCACATCACCTTGAATGGCTTTTCGGTAAAGACCTCCCTTTCCTCCCCATCAAGTCCTTCTGTGGATTTTAATCCTGGGCTGGCTTTAGCAATACAGACAGTCCTGACTTACTTTTTTTTTTTTTGCCTCTGCAATGTTTCAAAAACAATATGCATTCAGTAGAAACTGTACTTTAAAGTTTGACTTTTGATCTTTTCCCAGGCTAGCGATATGTGGCACGGTACCCTCTCTTGACGCTGGGCAGTGGTGGCAAGCACAGCTCCCAGTCAGCCATGCAATCATCAGGGTAAATGACCAATACTGTGGTCTACAATGTGCTGTATTCAATACATTATATGACATTTTCAACACTTTCTTACAAAATAGGCTTTGTGTTAGATGACTTTGCCCAACTATGGGCTAATGGAAGTGTTCTGGGTATGTTTAAGGTAGGCCAGGCTAAGCTATGATATTCAGTAGGTTAGATGTACTAAATGCATTCTCTACTTAGAATAGTTTCAACTTGTGATGAGTTCATCATGAGGTGATCCCACTGTAAGTGGGAAAGCATCGTAGTTTTACCGTGACCCTGTGATGAACTGTTGTCATTGAAGAACCAGGCAGATAAGATGGGCTTAAACTGTGGTTGGAGGGAGTCGAGTTGGCCATTAAAAATTTTTTTTTCTGAAGCGTGGGGAAACTGAAATATACTACTAAGAAGGGTGATGGGATCTTTTAAAGACAACTCTAGGGAAAGGGGAGAAAGTGGGTCTCTTTTGAGAGACTGCCGTTAGAGAATTGAATGGCCTCTTCCCCACCTTCCCAATGCAAGGAAAATTCTTAGAACTGGAAGAGAGCTGAGCAATCATCTATTTCAACCTCCCTCTCCATGCCGATCTTGGGATATCTCTACCCATCATGAATCCTTCTTCATTATTCCTGTGTTCACTCATTTCACAGATACGTGTGGCTCGGGACACCACGCTGTCAGAGTTTCACTATCCTAAGCACAATGTAACAACTCATCATGGCCACGTAGTGTTCCAGTAACATGGAGGAATAAAAAAGTTGTATAAATGGCATCAAGATTGCCTTAAGACCATCACGCTAATAGAAGCAATAAACATCAGTTATTTTAGAGTTTATTCTGCAAGGGAGGATTCGCGCCTAAGGGGACATTATCTCTTCCAACTAATATCAATTAACAACAGCAGTGAAAGAAAGAGGCATAATTTCTCCCACCAAAACCTCTCACATGTGTCGTTTTTAAAATGTACACTATGCAGCAAAAGATGTGAAATCCAGTATTAGACTAGGTATGTGAAATTAGAAATATTTGGCTCTAGAGACCCAGAGAACTTGAGGCAGTCATTGTCCTTGAAGCCCTTTGCACATCAAGATATGCAAAGTCCAACTGCTTCACTTGGAATCAAGTCTTCCAATATATGGCCCCAGCTTTATCTTCTACTAAAGATCTGCATCTAACCTTTAAAGGTCCTTAACACTGATATGATTATAATGTCTCACCTCTATCCTCCACAAAGATAAAACAGCATCAAAAGCACAGGCAACACAAACGACATCAGACAAATGGGACTATATTGAACTAAATCGCTTCTGTCCAGCAAAGGAAATGATCAACAGGGTGAAGAGATAGCCTGGTGAATTGGAGAAAATATTGGCAAACTATTAATGTAACAAGGGACTAATATCCAGAATGTACAAGGAACTCAAACAACCCAACAGTTAAAAAAACAAAAAAACAAAAAAACAAAAAACAACCAACCCCATGTAATCCCATTAAAAAGTGAGCAAGGCTGTGATTAAACATTTTTCAAAAGAAGACATACAAATGGTCAACAACTATACAAAAAACACTCAACATCACTAATCATCAGGAAATGCAGATCAAAATCCACAGTGAGACATTGTCTTACCCCGGCTAGAATGGCGACTATTAAAAAGACAAATCAATAATAATAACAGCAGATGCTGGCAAGGATCTGCTGGTGAGAATGTAAATTAGTACAGCCATTATGGAAAACAGTATGAAGATTTCTCAAAAAATGAAAAATAGAACTACCATGTGACCCAGCAATCCCACTATGGGGTAAAGGAATCCAGTCCGTCACAGGCACACCTGCGCTCTGTTCACTGCAGCACTATTCACTACAGCAAAGATATGGAATCAACCTGAGTGTCCATCAGTGGACAAATAGGTTAAAAATGTGATATAAATACACAAATAGAATACTATTTGGCCATAAAAAAGGAATGAAATCATGTCATTTGTAGCAACATGGATGAAACTGGAGATTATTATGTTAAGTGAAATAAGCCTGTCAGAGAAAGACAAATATTGCATGTTCTCACTCGCATACGGAAGCTAAAAAAAGTTGATCTCATGGAGGTAGAGAGGAGAATGATAGATACCAGATGCTGGGAAGGTGTGCTGGTAGGGAAGAGGATTAAGAGAGCTTAGTTGATGGGTGCATACAGTTAGATAGGAATAAATTCTAATTTATAGTCACAGTTTGGTCACTATAGTCAATAACAATGTATTATATATTTCAAAATAGCTGGAAGAGAGGATTTGAAATGTTCCAAAATATAAAAATGATAAATACTTGATGTGATGTTTATACTTAGTACCCTGACTTGATCATTCCACGTTCCATACATGTAACAAAATATCACATGTACTCCATTAATATGTACAAATATGTGTATGAATTGGAAAAAGGAAAAAAAATAACGCAAATGTAAGGAAGTCCAACCGTGTTCTGATTTTGCCCATAATGTTTTCTTGATACATTTTTAAAACATCAAATAATAAATTCGTAAACAAAATATTTTGTTAAATAAGTATTGTCTACTATAACCCTCCACTTGGTCCAGTCTGATTTCTATCCCAAGCTCAAGACTTTGTGGGCTCTTGGGCTTTCTTCATGCCTAGAATCAATCTCTCTCTCTCTCTCTCCCCACTGTGGAAATATAACTCGTTAACTATTACTTTAGGCCTTGATCAATTTCCAGACCAGCATCCACCATCAAGACCCTTCCCCAACAAGAATACTTCCATTGATTACTCCGATAGGGAAAGCCCTCTGATATCCTGGAGAAAGTGGCGTCCACATCTCTTAATAACATAGTACTTTGTGACATACCTGACATTGTTACTTCACATTTGAATTGCATTTTTTAAGTGTTTCTGTGTTGTTCTTCCAATGAGCCTATGGGTTTTGAAGGCAGGACTTAGGTCTTACATTTCTGTGTCTCTCCTCTGTATTGCCAGACACATAGACAACACTCACATTCCTACAATGCCTGTTCCTTAAGTTAGTACTTCCCAATTCGAGGAACAAAGATTCATGTGAATCTTTGAGATTATACCCCACTCCTGAAATATTGCACTAAGGCCGGACACAGGGGATTACAGGGGGATTACAGGGGGCTCACACTTGTAATCCCAGCACTTTGGGAGGCTGAGGCAGGTGGATCACAAGGCCAGGAGCTCGAGACCAGCCTGGGCAACATAGCGAAACCCCGTCTCTACTAAAATACAAAAAAAATTAGCCAGGCATGGTGCCGGGTGCCTGTAATTCCAGCTACTTGGGAGGCTGAGGCAAGGAGAATCACTTGAGCCTGGGAGGCGGAGGTTGCAGTGAGCCGAGCTTGCGCCACTGCACTCCAGTCCAGGTGACAGTGTTGGACTCCGTCTCAAAAATAAATAAATAAAAAGAAAAGAAATACTGCACTAAAAGTTGGTAATTACTTGGGTGCTAATGGAATGGTAAATTAAAATGCATGATCAAGCACTGATTAACATCAAAGTGAAAATACAAAAATTAAATATCTCAAAACTCTTAGACTCAAAAATATAGTCTCAACCCTCTCTTCCATCTTCCATCCTATACCTGCTTCCTACCACTCCTTTCCACTGTAATACAAGTTTGAGAGACCCCGAGGTAAGTCTTGAGAGCTATTATTAAAATATCAAAATAACTTATCTGTGAATGCCTTAGCTTCAGTGATCTGGTTAGATCAGTCAGCCCTCCCTTAGCAGTGCACCAGGAGAGGAGACCCGGGCCAGTTGCATTTTTATGGCAATGCGAGGCAGGTTGGAAACACCTAGAGCTTTAGATCCTGAATAGCTTCTGTAGGTCAAGCTTTTCTGCATCAGGTGAAGAACCAGCAGGAAAACCGTCAAGGGTGATGGGAATTTTGAGAAAGAGGAGGTGGTTACTGATGCCAGATGCTGCAGACAAGCAACATAAACACGAGAAATTGGATGTCTTCTGCAATGCACTGCCTGTCAAGAGAGCAGCATCAGGAAAATGGAAAAAAGAAGTGTAGCAAAATAGCAGCAGCAAACTGGGCATTAAGTAGGAGGTGAGAGAAGAGTGAGTAGAAGGGAAGGGGCAGAAGCTGAGGAGTAAAGAAAGCCTTTGCTTATTTAGTTTTTGCACAGGAAGATGGGCATATGTGTCTCCGAAATGACTGAAGATTCTAGAGAAGTGGTGGAAGTGATGGAACAAGGGTCTCCAGGTGGGACAGAACCAAGGGTGCAGGAGAAGGAATTAGCCACAGGCAGGAGGGGGGAAATCTCGGAGAAGCAGGTGACGAGGCCTCTGACCGTACCTGGCAGAAACCAATTTAAATCTACTAAAACAAACAAAAAAGAGTGTGGCTGGGCCCCGGGACCACCTGGAACCAGGACTTCTCTTTACATCCGTTTGACTCCAATCTCAGCCCTCCCCACCCACTGCTCACCCACCCAGGTCCTATCTTCTTCATCCTGGTAGAGAAACACAGCTGCCATCAATTCCCAAACGTTTATCTTCACAGGTGCAGCCATGGGAGAAAAGCTACACTAACCTCCTTGGCCTCAAATCCAAAATTCTAAAGAAAGGTTGTCATTGGTCCATCTTGAGTATTTATTTATTTGCTTGTTTGTAGATTTAAATTGAACATTCATTACTTTCCATTTTCCAGCTTTATTTTTTCAAATACATTTTATTGTGCATATTTGATGTTTACATGAGGTTATGGGATTCATTTGACAGTAAAATCATTACCATAGTGAAGAAAAGCAACATGTCTTTTGTCTTGAGTATTTTAGGAACTCAATCATGGGTCAGTGAATTCTGGCTAATGCTGGCTGTGGACAGGAGGTCCTATGTAAGCACGTCAGCACCCCATGGGTGCCTTACAGATGGAGTGGAAGGAGGAGCAGTTTTCATTGAAGAGGCAGGGTCTGGTCAACAGATAGGTATCTATCCACAAATTCAGTCTGGGGGTGGAGAGTTCATAAAATCTGAGCGGTTCATAACTTAAGTACTTTTTGTTTGTTTCATTGGTTTTTTTTCTTGTTGCTATTGAAGTTAGGGTCTCTTCCAAGAATTAGGGGCTAGATGACAATTTGGGCTATAAATTGTTTGGGACTCTACCACGTAAAATGAGAACACCAACATAAGGACTGACCAATGTTGAGAAGCAGCTGAGGGTAGAAGGTGCGTCACAGGATCAACCCAGACTTATTCGTTTAAGGAATGTTATTGATGGCTATCTTTAATATCACTCAGCATCCTGGACATAGTAGCGTAAGAACATAGTTGGGTTGATCCAAGTTTGGAGAGTGGAAATACAGGTGTTTTGGGCACGGCAGTGGGGCAAAGGAACTTGTGGGAGGAAGGGCTAAAGTAGGGGGGTCTACCTGCACAAGGAACTGTGAGGTGACTGGCACAGGGAAGAGGAGAGAGAGCTTGGGACAGGAAATGGTGACAAAAGCTGTGGTGTCTCAGTGGTGCCTCTTATGACGCCCAAGGGAGATGACCGCTCAGGCCGAATGAACACACCCTGGGTGCGCAGGAAAGTTCCACAGAATTATAAATGGCACCTCTTTCTGTTATTGAGAGATCCCCAATTTGGATGTTGAATCATGTGGTCAGTCCACCCAACGTCAGGTCTGAAGTGACCGAGGAAAACGGCTTCTCGGGATGTCGACTTCGTGTGCTGCAGCCCCAGACCCATTGGTTGGAAGGAGCAACCCTGGCTTTCCACCTGCTTGTTCCTACCTCTTGTTTCTACCAAGGGAAATGGAGACTCTCCTCTCTTGTTCTTACCAA